TTTAGCCATGGCTGGAATCCCTTTTCTCCCATTAAGTATAAGAATAAGACGTACAGCACTAACATGGAGATAAGTATAACCCTAAACCTTCCACTCATCAATTAAAGGCTAGGCTATGTCAATAGTAATATATTGTTCAAATGAGGTGGCACGAAGACCACAATTCAGAATGGTTTCAAAGTCTCAGTGACTATCAAAAAATTACAGCAATAAGAGCTGATAATGCAGGAACTGTCTTGGAACTCATTCACAAAGTATTCTTGGCGATTTGGGCTTTCCTTAATTGTCTTAAAATGGGATAAGACATTTTGAAAACCTTACTGTAATCAGACTCTTTTGGATAAGAGATAATAAAAATGGATGTCATTTCTAATAATATTAGTACTTAACAAACAATAATTATGTAATTATATGTGAATGTTTGAAATTGATAGGCGATGATTATTCAAATTGAAGAAGTAATTATCATCAATTTGAAAATTAAATATTTTGAATAAAAGTTAGTTTTTACAGCAAAATACCTTTTTTTCCTTGGCTTTACGATACACACACACATGCAGCTTTAAACAGCAGAGATACTTGGAATATCCTCTAGCTAGGAGCTTCATATCTCACTCGCAAGCCCTTGATGTCACCATTCCTCCAATGATCCAATGGGTAATACCTAAGCTTATGTTGCATAAAGACATGGGTTCGAGTCTTTCCGCCAATGTGATGTGATTATCTTCGCTGGTAGATTATTTATGCAAGCATTTCTATAAACATTTTTTGAGTCATGAGGCCTCATTCTAGCAAGGCTTTGAAACTCGTCTCACCTAAATTTTCTCCGACATGATAATGACGATAATACAAACAGCAACGATCATTTTGATTTTGTTTAAATCTTGTAAAAAAGAAAAAAAAAAAAAAAAGAAGCACCAAAATGATTATCTTCATCATGAAATCTTGAACGTGATCCTTTAATTAGAATATTAAAATGAAATGGTCAAACTTACACAAGGAACCATGATTTTATTTGTTGAATCGGTGGGCATATATTATTTGGAAAAAAAACTTCTATCATCGCTTAGAGCGTGATGCACAGTAGTTACAATTAGTGAGCTGAGAATACGTACGTATTCCAAATTAATCCAAGTTTGAAACTTGTTGGTTTAAAATGTAGCGTATCGCTTCCAACATGGTTTTTCTTCCATTTGGCTAAACTATTGGTTGTATATATGCATGCCAGATAAATGCATGCATGCACGCACCATAGGTTGTACATTATGTCCCTACATGATTAAATTTGTGATTCATATTCCCAAATGTTCAACATCGTTACATATTTACCCGAGTTTGCATGCACAACAATGGCTTAATTTATTAGAACGTGAGGACGTGATCATATAAATTTTGAACATCACTCAAATGCAAGTACTACCTCTGGTCTTAATATAATTATAAGACCTTGTTTGTAGACTACAGATGAGGTCTTTGAAGTTAACTTACCCTTAATTTGTTGCTTTAGGGTTACTCCAAAAATTAACCGAATTAATGCAATATAGTGCACAATCCAGGTCGTATTCACTTTGAGGAGCCGAAAATGAAATTAAACCCTAGTAAATAAATACAAGTAACCTAAATTATAAAAAGAATTTTTGATTTGAGAATTTCTAATTAAACACCATAAATTAAATTGAAATTAAAATACTTTTTTTTGTTTTTATGTAAAAATGATTAAAATGAATGAAGATTAAAGAAATGAAAATGAGACACACAAATAACACTGATAAAAATCAATCTTCCAATTCAACAACGCAGGCAATCATCACTCTAAAAGATGTGGGAGTTAAAAACAATGAATTAAGAATTATAATTAAGCTTTTGATACAACAACCGAGCCACCTCAAGTTGCCACAAAATATTTTCCTAAAATCCCAACTTACTAACTGCAACCAGAATAGTAAAATGGGATTAAGGATACTAAAAACCAATGCTTAATTAGAACTCTTAAATCCAAAATAACAGAATTAAAGCTAGCAAGAGACAATATGATCCAAAATTCTAAGCCACCTTAAAAAATCACAATATATTAACTCCAAAATCAATACAAATGTCATAACCACAATATTATAATTGAAATCAAAACTATAAACAGCCCAATATCAAATACTAAGCAATAATTCAGTCACAATAATCTCCAAATATAATCAGATTAAGCAATACAATTATCCCAACAATCAGAAAAACTATCCTAAGACCTAGGAATTGTTAAACAATTATTGAGTAAGAAATTAAAGCAACTAAAACTCCCCTTTGATGATCCAAGCTCCTGCCATTATTGTTGAATTGGAAGATTATGAAATCTAGCATCGGTTTGCCATCAAAAATGCCATAATCAGAGCTCTGTTACGGTTTTCCACGGAAGAAGACGGTGACGGAACTGATTTTGCTGTCTCACTCGTTCTGTGCGCCGGCAAGGAGAAGAAGAAGGTGAAGGTGTCGTCGCTCACTGGTTCGTCGCCCAGCTCCTGCTTCTCGCCGTCACGAGCTCGTGTTCCGTGACAAACTCAATTATTTTTATATATTTTGGTATCTTTTATATGAGTTTTGTCAGCTTAATTGGTCTCTTTTTGCCTTAATTGATTTAATTTATTTTATTTTGAATTATTATTTTATAGGGGTAAAATTGTCATATTTTGGTTTAATTGTAAGTAATTGGTTTTTTTGAGGACAATTAATGCTACCTTACTTTTGAATTTTGTTTGCAGGTTTTTGGAAGAATTAAAAATATAAAAAAAAGAAGAAAAGAAAAAATATATATATAACAATAAAAAAAAAGGGGAGAGCAAAACGAAACGTTTTGCCCTCCCCCAACCTAATAATAATAATCACTCACACACACACGGAGGGAGGCACGAAAAGAAGACGTAGGCGCGGCCGAACACACACACACGATACAAAAACAGAGCAAGCGGCGCACAAAGAAAGACACACACGCGAGGCGGCTGGAGGGAATACACGAAAGGCAAGAGCAGAGCATGCCGAACAGAGGAGAATGGAGACACACACATACGCGGAGGCGAAGACGCAAGAAAGAAACAGGGACGCGAGGCGCGGCTGGAGGGAACCCACGGGAGGCAGAGCGAGTCATCGAATTATAGTTTTCACAGCCGCTTCTTCCTTGTTCTTCATGGCAGGACATAGTAGACTATTGGAGGCAGTATTTTTTATGGCAGTCCGTGGCTAGCTTTATTAATCCTCTAATTCAACAACAATGGCAGGAGCTTAGATCATCAAGGGGGAGATTTAGTTGCTTTAATTTCCTGTCTAATAATTGTTTAACAATTCCTAGGTCTTAGGATAGTTATTCTGATTATTAGAAAATTTTGTGTTGTTAAATCTGATTATCTGTGGGGATTTTTGTGGCTGGATTAATGTTTAGCATTTGACATTGGGTTGTTTATAGCTTTGATTTCAATTATGATGTTGTGGTTATGACATTTATATTGATTTTGGAGTTAACATATTGTGATTTTCTAAGGTGGCTTAGAATTTTGGATCATATTGTCTCTTGCTAGCTTTAATTCTGTTATTTTGGATTTAAGAGTTCTAATTAAGCATTGGTTTTTGACATCCTTAAACCCATTTTACTATTCTGGTTGCAGTTAGTAAGTTGGGATTTTAGGAAAATATTTTGTGGCAACTCGAGGTGGCTCGGTTGTTGGATTAAAAGCTTAATTATAATTCTTAATTCATTATTTTTAACTCCTACATCTTTTAGAGTGATGATTGCCTACATTGTTGAATTAGAGGATTGATTATCATCAGTGTTATTTGTGTGTTTCATTTTCATTTCTTTCATCTTCAGTTATTTCAATCATCTTTTATATAAAAGAAAATAACAAAAAAAAATTATTTTAATTTCAATGTGATTCGTAGTATTTAATTAACAGCTTTTCAAAATCAAAAATCTCTTTCTATAGTTTAGGTTACTTGCATTCATTTACTAGGGTTTAATTTCATTTTCGGCTCCTCAAAGTGAAACGACCCGAGTTTTGCACTATATTGCATTAATTCGGTTAATTTTTGGAGTAACCCCAAAGCGACAACTAAGGGAAGTACAACTTCAAGTGGCGCCGTTGCCGGGGAGCCAAGAAATTGGTTCCCTAGTAATTAAGTATCAAGTAGCCTTGATTGGGGTTCATTTGTTGAGCCTTTTTAGATTTCATTTTTGTTAGTTTTTGCATTTTCTTTAGTAGTTTGCATTTGTTTCTTTTGATTTTTCATAGCATTTTTTTTTCTTCTTCCTTTGCATAAAAAAAATTCAAAAATACAACTAAATATCTTCATTTTTCATTCATTGCATTGCATTCATCTGTTTTCTTTTGCTTAATTGCTTCTGGTTGATTGATTGTTTATGCCAAGAAAGGGTAGGTCTAAAACCCTAGTTCCTTCCAATCTTGAGCTTCAAAGTTCTTTAAGAGAAGTTAGACAAGACCAAAGGGTAGAAAGGACTAGTGAGGTTGAACTAGACAATTTAACTGATCTAGATTTGGTGGTTGACTTAGGTGACATAATGGAAACAGTTAATAATCCTAATGGTAACAACAATGGTGGTAATGAGAGAGGGGGCAATGGACATAATGGGGAGCATGATAGAGTAGGAGAGAATAATGGAGATAACCCTAGAAGAAGAACCATTAGGGAAGCCACTACTTCTGATGCAAATTATGATCCTTTTAATGTTGCATGCCCTAATGTTGATGTTAATTTTGAGATTAAAGGTCCACTGCTTAATTATTTGCCTAAATTTCATGGTTTGACAGGTGAGGACCCATACAATCATCTGAAATCTCTCTCTATGGTATGTGCTAGCATGAAGCCGGTTGGGGCTAATCTGGATGAGGTTCTTTGGAAGGTATTCCACTTGTCTTTGGAGGGCAAAGCGCGAGAATGGTACATGAGCTTGCCTAGTTATATGGCAGATGCCTACCATAACTGGAACAACCTCAGAAAAGCATTCTTGGAGAAGTATTTCCCTGCTTCCCGGACTTCTACATTGAGAAAAGAGATCTACTCTGCAAAGCAAGATTATGATGAGTCATTGTATGACTACTGGAACCGTTTTCAGGACTTGCTTTCTAGATGTCCACACCATCAGATTCCAGATGAGCAGTTAGTCCAATACTTTTATGATGGACTTAAGACCCAAGATAAGGGGATGTTGGATGCTGCTTCTGGGGGTTCTCTTATTGATTTAAATGCTGAGGAGGCATGGGAACTTATCAAGAAAATGGCATTGAACCATCAACAGTATAGCATCAAGGAGTCTAAAAATGTCAATGCAATGCATACTAATCCTTCTTCAGTCCACATTCCTCAATTGGACACATTCACTTCTCAAATTGCTGCTTTGACTACACAGTTGAATAAGCTTGCATCTCACACTCCCCCTGTTGACACTCAGACTCCTAATTCTATGGAGATGACTGCACCTAGTTGTGAGCATTGTAATTCTGTTATGCACATCTCTGCTGCTTGCCCTCATAGATATGAGGAAGTTTCTACCATGTATCAAGGAAGGGCCAATCAATCTAAGCAATAGAACCCATACTCAAACACATATAATGAAGGATGGAAAGCTCATCCAAATTTCCGATGGGGAGGAGGTGACAATAGGCAGGTTCAAGAAGGGTTTCAAGGGAATATGGTTCCTCAAGGACAATCTTACTATGGAGGGTTATAAGGAGAATCTTCTAGAGCCATGTCTACCCCACAGCAATCACAGTCTAAGGATGATGAGCGATTCTCTCGAATACTCAAGGGCATTGAGGCAATGACTGAGCACATATCTAAATCTGAAGCTAAATCTGAAGCTAGATTTGCAGCCCTAGAGAATAGGATGAAGCAATGGGAAACTAGAACCTCTAATTTGACTTCTTATGTCACTAAGTTGTCAAATGGTGTGAGTGAACAGCAAGCTAAGACTAGTGGTTCAATGCCTTCCAACACGGTGATAAATCTTAAATCTTTGAATGCAATTACATTGAGAAGCGGTAAGGAAATTGGTGCTAAGACAGTGCAATTCAAAGATGATGAAGAGGGTGAAGAACCGGTTGATGAAGAGATAGAAGTTGAGTCTCCTCCTTCTAAAACCACTCAAGACATTCCCATGACTACTCAAGAGACCTTCATTCAATCCAAAGGGCCAATAGAGAAAGGATCATCTTCTAAAGGTGATGAGGTAAATATTTCTGACTTGCCTTTTCCTCATTCATATCTCATGAGTAAGAAAGTTGTTGAAAAGAAAGATAATGATGAGCTTTTTGAAATGTTTAGCAAACTTGAGGTTAGTGTGCCATTACTTGATTTGATTAAAAAGATGCCTAAGTGTGCTAAGTTTCTAAAAGATCTATGTACAAACAAGAGGAAGTATAGGCATAGTGAGAGAATCCAATTGGGGTCTAGTATTAGTGCTATCTTCAAGCCACAACTACCTATTAAGTGTAAAGACCCGGGTTCCTACACTATTCCTTGTACCATAGGCAAAACAAACATTTCACATGCCTTACTAGACTTAGGTGCAGCCATAAATGTTATGCCTACCTCTATCTATGAGAGTTTGGGTATTCATGCCTTGAAAGACACCAGTATTGTGCTAGGTTTAGCTGATAGGACTGTGAGACACCCTAAGGGCTTTCTTGAGGACGTTTTGTGCAAGTGAAGGGTCTTGTGTTCCCAGCTGACTTTTATGTGCTAGATATGACTGATGAGATTAAAGCCGATAGCACTTTGATTCTAGGAAGACCTTTTCTTAGAACAGCCCAAACCATAATTAATGTGAAAGACGAGGTCATTACCATGGGCTTTGGGGACCAACAGATTACCTTCAACATTTCTGATGCTATGAGTCAAGGTTATGCAGATTGCTCTTACTTGGGTGTTAATTTGATTGATTGTGCTGTTAATGATGTTGATGATTTGCATGAATCTGAGATGCATGAACATGATTGGTATGGTGAGATTGCTAAGCATGATGATGCATTTACTTGTTTATCTACCCCTCATTCTTCTTCTTTTTGCTCATGTTATGGTGACGTGGTGTGTGTTAACTGTTTAGAAGTTGATCACCTCCTTTCCATCTCTCATGATTTTGATGCATCATCTTGTCTTAACTGTGATTCTGCCTTGAACATTACACTTGATGATAGCCTTGAGAAAGGCGAGTTTGTTGATTCTGCAGGTACTGATGATAAAGGAGCTGTTACATAAGCTACACCGATAGCTTCTCCTTTGAGTGGTGCTGGAACATTAGAAGAGGCTAGCAACAAGCTTGCTACTGACTTAGTCACTTCTAATCCCACTCTTTCTTGTGATTTACTTGATGTTTCTGTTGATAAAATTGATACCGATCCTTCTTTTTGTAGGTCATCCAAGAATGGCACTGAGCTGGGAAGTGGAGGACATACATATCATGATGAGCTTATATCTCCTTCCCCAAGCCATATGGACATGCCGCTTGCATTGAATGCACTTGACATAAAAGAATTAGTTCCTTCTATTGTGCAACCTCCTGATTTAGAACTGAAACCCCTCCCCTCTAATTTGAAATATGTCTTTCTTGCTGCTGATTCTAAATTGCCTGTTATTATTTCCAGTTCTTTGAGTAGTTCTGAAGAAGAAAGACTAATTTCTGTATTAAAGAGTCATAAAGGGGCTTTAGGATGGTCTTTAGGGGATATTCCAGGAATTAATCCATCAGTTTACACACACAGGATCCTTTTGAATGAAGGGTCCAAGCCAGTTAGGCAACCACAGAGGAGACTAAATCCTCTCATTCTGGATGTGGTTAAGAAGGAAGTCTCAAAGTTGTTGAGTGTTGGGATCATCTATCCCATATCAGATAGTGAGTGGGTAAGTCCGATACAGGTAGTACCAAAGAAGAGCGGTATCACAGTAGTGAGAAATGAAAATGATGAACTGATTCCAACTAGGGTTCAAAATGCTTGGAGAGTATGTATAGACTATAGGAAGTTGAATGATGCTACGAGAAAGGACCACTTTCCATTACCCTTTATAGATCAGATGTTGGAAAGAATTTCAGGAAAGTCTCACTATTGTTTTCTTGACGGTTTTTCTGGCTATTTTCAGGTACCTATCGCTCCTGAAGATCAGGACAAGACTACCTTCACATGCCCTTTTGGTACCTTTGCTTATCGAAGGATGCCATTTGGGTTGTGTAACGCTCCAGGCACCTTTCAAAGGTGCATGATGGCGATATTTAGTGATCTTCTAGAGCAAAACATGGAAGTTTTTATGGATGACTTCACTGTTTATGGTAAGAGTTTTGATGAGTGCTTGAATAGCCTAGAGCAGGCTCTTGAGAGGTGTATCGATAAGAAATTGGTTTTAAACTTTGAAAAGTGTCATTTCATGGTTGATAAAGGGATAGTCTTAGGTCACCTCATCTCCCAAAAGGCGATTGAGGTTGATAGGGCTAAAATTGAAGTTATTTCATCCCTTCCTTATCCTACTTGTTTAAAGGATTTGAGGTCTTTCTTAGGGCTTACAGGACTGCCTACAAGACCCCTATAGGCATGTCCCCCTTCCGGTTGCTCTATGGCAACGCTTGCCATCTGCCTATGGAGATCGAGCACAAATCTTATTGGGCAATCAAGGCATGTGATGCAGATCTCGAATCTTCACTTGTCAATCGAAGGATGCAACTCCAGGAACTTGAAGAAATGAGACTTGAGTCCTACGACAATGCCAGAATCTACAAAGACAAATTGAAAATGATTCATGACAAACAGATTCTAAGGAAGCAGTTTCATGAAGGTGACAAGGTTCTAAAGTTTAAAGCCCGGTTGAAGCTGATGCCTGGGAAGTTTGTCACCAAGTGGGAAGGTCCATTTAGAGTTACGAAAGTATATCCTTTTGGCACGGTGGAGCTCGCAGATGAAGAGACCGGTATAACTTCACAAGTCAATGGCCATCTGCTGAAGCACTACCATGAGGATCACAGACCTCCCTGATCACCCGGTTGTTCCCTTCCACCCTACTCTTTTACTTTCTGTTGTATTGCTGGTGATATCTGTTTGCTGAGATATTTAGGAGTAAGTGTGGGGGAGGGAACTTTTCCAGTAGTTGTAGCTGTTTATTTCTGTTTAGTAGTTGTTTGTTTTGTTTCTTCTTGATTCTGCCATCTCTTCTGATCACTTAATTTATACTTGTCTATTCTCATTTCACATTATCTTAACATTGAGGACAATGTATTGATCAAGTGTGGGGGAGGGATTGTTGTTGAGTTGTTGAGCTTTCTTTTGAAAAAAAAAATTGCCTTTGGATTTGCTCCTGTTTCCTAAGTATTGCTGCTATAATTGCTCTCTTCGCTGCCTTATTGGTTGATTTCTGAATTGCATCGCATGATTTGAGAGTGATTCTTGCTTGGGAATTTTGCTGCTAGTTTCTATGTCCTCTTGCTTTCATTCACCTCAGTGCTCTGCACTATTGTATGGGCAAGTTGATGTTCTCTCTGTTGCTGACTTGACTTTTGTAATCCTTAGGCACCTCTTTTTAAAATCTTTTTGCACAATGCTTGCGAATATTGTACGGCTGAGTTTGATTGCATTTGATTTGAGTGATTTCTGTTCTTAGTTGAATAGCATAGTAGAATACTTTTGGTGCAGTGTTATTAACCTTGTTTTATAGTTTGATTCTTAAGGAGAAAACATCTTGGAGAAAGCCTTGATGGAAGGATTTTTGAGCCATGTATTCTTTCTCATCTTGTGTGATTTCCACCTAGTTTTGGTTAACCTCTAGAACTTGTTTAGATTCTTTTTCAAAGCTGCATTAATACCTAGGTTTGTGAAGATGATAGGGGCATTCATTTCTAAACCTTTATCCAAACACAAACCACTTCATTTAACCTTTGTTCACCCCTTTGAGCCTTCACTTTCTTTCTATTCATTGCTTTTTAATAAGTGTTTTGCATGAGTTATCTGATTTTTCATTTTGAAAAGTACGTCATAATGTCTATATCTTTGCCTTCGTGGGTTTGGAAGCCAAAAAAAAAAAAGGAAAGGAAAGG